CGGCGGGTGGGGGAAATGTGGGCGGAGTGGACAGGAGCTTTTTGTTTCTGTTCCGTCCTCTGCCAGCATTAAGCCAACACCCCTCAAGCCAAGGACACTCGGGAGGGCCCGTCTCTGGGGTGGGAAGGACCTTCCTGGCTGTGTCACCGTGATGGGGTCCTGCCCCCCAGCTGTGCTGGGCCATCTTCCCAGACCCAAGCCTGCGTTCGGCCTCCCCAAGACAGCCCGGCCTGGTCCAGGCACCTGCCTTGCTGACCCATGAGACCCCGGGCCTCCGCCAGGACAAGGTTATGAGCTGTGTCCCCTGGGGGCACAGTGTCGCCTCCAGACAAGGCTTCCCTGGAGGCCTCGACTCCTGACTGAAGTGAGCATCATTCATGGAGAAAGCCAGGACCTTTCCTTGACAGTGGCCCCAGGCATGCGCAGCAGTCAGTGGCCACTGATAGCAGCGGGCCACCAGCCAGCCCTCTGCCCTAGACCCACACAGGATGTCACGCCCTCGTGTGCACTGGTTTCCGGAACAACTCCCATGCAGAGACTGTGGGGGCGAGCAAGACAAGCTGTGGGTTGAGGGTCCCCTTGGACACCTGCCCCTACATAACCAAAGAGGTTACGGGTTTACGTAGAGGATTAACCCAGAGGCTGGGTGAACGTCTTTCCCGGTGTAAGGGGCTTCTGCACACAGATCCTACAGGACCAGCGACAAGCTTGGCACTGGGTAGCCCGCTCGCAGCGCTGGAATAGAGCACCATGAAGACTGGAACAGGGACGTTTGGGGTGTTACTCTCTGTGGTCACAGGAGACCCGTCTTAAATGTCTATTTTACCCCCTCAAGGCTAGGCAGCTATGCAATGCATATTCGCCCCGGTCACCAGGAGGCTTAGATGGAAGACACCATGTCAGAGAACACTCTGGAAAGTGACCACACAGGCTTCGGTCACTGAATGTCAAGAGATGAAAGGCTGCACTTTTTTCTGTAATCCTCACAATCCAGAGGAGGTAGGTTAGTATTTCCAGGTGGGGATACTGAGGCACACAGAGATTAAGAGGTTTGCCCCACCCATACCAAGAAGCTGTATCAGAGCCAGGTCAAAAGAGGTGAGTGTCTGAGGGCTAGGATTGAGGTCACTACGTCCTGTCCCAAACCTGCCCTTATCTTGTTACAGCCTCTCCACAGCTACAGCTGCCAGGAGCACGTCACTTCGCAGGTGGAACTGTCAGGGAGTGCAGTCCGTGGATAGATCTGTTGGCTCCCTTGCAAAACAAAAGTCCCGCAATTTCCCAGGAGCAGCACAGACCTCAAATATCTTCTAATATCTGATTAGATTGTTTTAGCCAGTTGAAGGCTACAAGCCCACAAAGAAGTCCCTGTGGCTTCCAATAAAATGTGGCCAAGGAGATCGAAGGTCTGGAGTTTTTCTGTCTAGGAATGGGGTGGGGACCGGGGCATCCTTGGTGAGTGACAAGTGAGGCCTGACAGGTTGGCTCCTGCTCGTCCCCTGACACCCTGCCTGCCCCTCTGAAGACCTACAGGAAACCCTGGTCTTGGGCACGAAGGTGAGGGCGGTGGCTCTGTGGCTCAGGCTTTCTGCCACAGCGAAGTGGGCGCCACACAACCACTCTGCAAGACAAACACTCGCACAGCTTCGTGCTCCTCAACCAGGGTGGCCCGGGGACACCTGGCCGTGTGTCTAGATACTTCTATGCTCACAACTAACTTGGGGGTGCTACTGGCAGGGAGTGGGCAGAGATGGGGGGTGCTGCTAAGTGTACTGCAGTGCACAGGACCCACCCAAGATATCAGTGGAAGTTGAGAAGCCCCACATCACCCCAGCGTCCACAGGTCAAGCTCCCAGAGGGGCTTATCCACTGCCCCCGTCATGGCTGCAGTGACCTGCAGTGGGCGCTGAAACACACCTTCACAGGACAAGCCTTTCACTTGCAAGTAGAATTAGGGCTTCAATGCAAGTATCCCTGGAAGAAGTAGATCGTGCAATCTGACCCTTTCCTGAGAGTGCTCTGGCGGGGCAGGGGCAGGGGACCTGGGGGCCAGGGCAGGGCTCAGAGGGGAGGGTGGGCCCTCCCCAGCCTCGCTGGGCCTTGGGCAGTGAGGGGTGCTGTGGCAACCTCAACCGCACGCAGGGCTGAAGACGCAGCCTAGAACTATCTACAGTTTTACAGCGGTTAGGCGGGTTACCTGTGGGTCAGTCTTCCTGGCGTCCTCTTTAGTGGGAATCGTCATTTCCCCAAAGAGATCAGGAGGGAAGGCGGGTGTGAGCGGCCCTCCCTGCTTTGGATCAGCAGCCGGGACGCCACGCAGTGGTTGCTAGTGGTGTTTTTTAGCAGAGACTAATTTTAAAAGGAAAGGCGTAGGCTTTGAGCAGCCCTGCTCACTAGCAGGGGATAGTCTGCAGAACCACAGCACAGGGCATTATTTACAGTGTGGGGCTCGACGCTTCAGACCCCCCAAATTCCTTTCTCACTGAAACTGCGTGACCGATTGACACCGAGTTGTTCCTCAGCTGGCCCAGCAAATGCGTCACTCAGTATCATTTTTTATGTACAAAAATGCCACCACGCTGTGAAGCTATTGGGAATCTGACGAGAATCCCATGGGCCGCCTGTCCTTTTCTCCTCTGGATCCCGGGCCTTCCCGGCCACGAGGAGTCGACAAGTTCCTTCTTTGCTTTTCTGATCCTTCAAAAGCACGAGTGCGGGGTGTGGCCCAGTTCTTCTCTCTCGGGTCCGTTCTTGTCCTGAAATGTGTCTTGTGGTGCAGGCAGATGGGGTGGCTGTGGGGACAACCCATCGCTGCCCCCACTGGGGGCCATTTTACAACAGTTCCCAGAGGAGCCAGGACAGGGAGGCCCTGCCCAGCTGGCTCCACACTCACTGCTGCGGTGCAGGTGCAGGGGTCCTGGCTGCTCCTCTGACTTCTGGGAATTTTCTTCGTATAGATACCACTGGAGTTGTGGCGTTTTCCTCCCACGTTTTCCACATCCTCTGACCTGGGTGCCAGCTCCCAGAGGACGTGGACGAGTCCAGGTGGCCCCGACTCCATGCTCCATGCATGGACAACAGCCCCGCAGAGCCAGGCCACCTGGTGACCCTGGCTGTGGTGATTCTGGGGACCCCCAGCCCTTCCCTCGGACCCCCATGAGCAGCTGCTGCAGCCAGGCGGCCCGCCCTGCTCTCACTCCCAGGGCACTGGCCTCTCTTTTCCAAAAAGCAGTGAGACATTTCTCAAAGCTGATGGCAGCTGTGCCTGCCAATGCCAGGAAGGCAGTGGCTCCTCTGCGTCCTCAGTCTTCAGGGATCCTCCCCACACTCCAAGCCAAGGCCACCAGAGCTCTGGCTAAGGACAAAGCCGCAGGAAAGTGGAAGCAGAGGCGCAGCTGTGCAGAGCTGCAGCAGCCTGGGTCTGTGCACCACCTTGGGGGCCCTGGATGGAACTCTGGGATGGAAAGACCAGGATGAAGAGGCAACACCAGGACTTCCAGGAAGCACAGGGCTGCCAAGGCCTGGCGGTGAAGGCTGAGCACAGCACCGAGCAGCTCCTGGCCACGCCGGGCAGCTGGCCTGGCCGGCCACATTGTGGAGATGGCCGGCTGGGCAGCCTGGTGGGCCAGGAGCGTGAGCTTCGAGGTAGGACTGTGGGACCCTGCTGAGCAGAGTGGGGATCAGACAGCAGGTGCGGTGTCCAAACGTGCAGGCAGGATCAAGGAGGCCCAGTTGGTGCCCATGTCAGGGCAAGTTGTATAAAATCCAACCAGCAAACAGACTCCTCAACCTCAGAAATCAAACACTTGATAAAATATATTCTTTTAAGAAGGAGAGAGAAAGGTTGCACCAGGTGGAGCTGGAGGAGGGGGCAGAGAAAAGGGACCCTGGGGACAGGAGCAGGTGGGGCCGTCTCCACGAGGTGGGGGCTCAGTGCGACCTCAAGGGAGAAGTCTGGCATTCCCAGGAGGGAGGGGGACTTCACCCCAGAGCCCACCTAGCACTTGAGACCTGGCACATCCAGGCTCCCGGTGGGCAGCTGGAGACGGGCACACGCTGCTGCCGTCCACTTCCTGCTGTCCTCGCGTGTGTGTCTGTGATGTCACGATGACAATCGGGTGGATGGATCATGTAAGAGGCTCCCCAGGGTGTCCCGTCTTAGGTGCTGACAGCTCTGAATGTGGCACGCTCAGAAGAGCAAATCACATACATTTCTAGTTAAGTTCTGGAGCCAGTTCCAGAAAAGAGTCACCAGGGGAAGACTCGTCACCATGTCATTAAAATTCTGGTGTTTTCATTTATGTTTAAGAATTAAGAACTGAGGGAGTGAGTTTTCGCAGACTGTTGTGTGTGCTTGTGCATGCGTGTGTGTGCGCATGAGGGAGAGGGAGAGACCATAATCAGCCGATTAATGAAGAACCTAAGGAAGCCATTTAAAGGGGTTCTCAGCAGCTCAGCAGGTGGCAGAAATCAAGCACTGATGATTAATGTCCCTCTCTATCCATCCTGCGAGTGGCAGATCATACTGAAGACTCCAGGACCAAAATCTCAAGGGTGACTCTTCCCAGCAAAGACATGAACCTGCAGCTTTGAGACTCAGAAGCAGGACCAGGGTCCTGGCAGGGGGTGACACTCTCATGGGATGACCTCGTAGTTCCGTGACCCCGCGCTCAGGAGGCCAGTCTCGAAGTCTGCCTTCCCCTCTCTTTCCAAAAAAAGAAGCGCTCTGAGAACAGATGGCAGGAAACATAAACATAGACCCCGAGAGCTTCCTCACTGCCTTGAGAAAGGTCCTTCCCCGTGAGTCTCTGCAGCGTCCAGGTGGAGAGAAGGTGAAACACGCCAATTCACACCATGTGGCCTGCAGACCCTTCCAACCCCAAAGGAAACGTGTCTCCATGGCGTTCAGGGGCCGCTGGGTGGCACCGTGACCTGCTCATCCTGCCCAGGGGGTTGCTGGAGCTCGTGAGGACAGCAGGCTTTCTGCCTGTGAGTGCCTTGGTGGCAGGTCGCAGGCCCATGGTGGGGACGCAGCCACGTGCTAGTTACCTGGCAGCTTTGGCCGCCCCAGGCTTGTTGGCACTTCCAATCCTGTGTGCAGGGTGACCTGAAAAAGAAGGCAGGGTGACTGAGGGTGGGGGCAGCACAGGACAGCACGGTGCCACACGCTGCATCCTGTGCCACCTTGAGGCCATCCCTGCGGTGGCCAGGGCTGCACTGTGTCACTGAGCAGGCCGTGGATGGCACGGTGGGTCTGCGCCTCTTCCTCTCAATGAGAATTACGCAGCCAACTAGGCCAGGTGGCCGCTGGGCTGCAGCAGGTGCCCCGCTGGTTCTCAGGGTGGCGTATCTGGACCCCGCCAGAGAGCAGAGTGGCAGCTCCCATCTCACTCCCATCGCACCCCCTGCCCCTGCCCTTGCCCTGGGCTCTGTTGGTCTCTGTCTCCCTCAGTCCCTAAGCCAAGGGGCTGCCTGGGGGCACTGCTTGTTCCAAGTGAAGGAGTCGGCACTTATCACGCAGAAGGGACAGCTCTAGGGGATGCCTGTGAGGCGCCGGCCTCAAGCCCTCTGTCTGGGTGTCACTGTGGCCAGCGTCCTTGTAGCTGCTGTGCCAGGGGCGCTGCAGAGCCGGTGGGTGGGCAGCAGGGAGCAGCCGGCCTGGCTCTGGCCCGGAGGTGCAGAGGGGGCGCGTGGTACCTGCACATTGCGGTTGAGGCTGAGGGCCGGCATGAAGACCCCGTCCACATGGCTGAAGGCCGTGGGGCCCTGCTGCTGCCCATTGATGAAGAAGGTGAGGGTGTGCTTGTTCAGATCCAGCAGCACGCCCACCGTGGCCCCCTTGCACACGCCACCCTCTGTCCTGGAAAGACAAGCCCCAGGAAGATGCATCACCACTCCCAGCCCGGATGTCGCTGACAACTCAGGAGAGTGATCTAAAGGGTGCTGGGAGCGCCCCACCTGGAAAACACAGCCCCGGGGTGGCGGCAGGGCGCTGTGCTCCTGGGCCCGTGACCCTTCCCCTGCAGTGCCCGCACCCGTTAGCAGGCCACATGTGAAGGTGTGCCCTGGGGGAGCCAGGCCATCCGACTTCTTCTGTCTGACAGTGGCTGGGACCGCGCAGCAGGGAAGCAGGTGCTGGGTGAGGGCTGCCATGTGAGCGTGGGTAGGAAGGCACCTTCACCCGCCAAGGAAAAGGACCGACAGTGCCCTTTCTGTTCTAGCCAGGTGCGGCTGCAGAGCTCGATGGTGATGCAGACACCCAGGCCTTCGGGAAACTGGGGAAGACCCCGCCCCGTTTCAGCTCCTCTTCCCAGAAACACTTTCGAGACCCTGACAGGCAGCACGTGCTGGGGGAGGGACGCTGAACCTGGAATCAAGGCCTCTGCCCAGGTCACCATCTCCCGTGCCCAGCAGTGGGACCTGGGGAATGTGATGGTGCAGCTCTTGGTATAGTGGGGGCATTGCCTTTCGTGGATGGTGAGACCAGGTGGGGTGAACCCCGAAGTGAGGAGACTCCCCAGGGGGCCTTGGCCGACCCCGCCTGGTCCCCGGGACCGAGTCCAGCAGACCCTCCCCGCCCTCGGCTCAGGGCCACAGTCTCAGCCTGGACCTTGGCTGCTGGCTCTGATCAGGAAACCATGTTTTTCTTCCCTGAGGCATGAGCTGGAGTGTCTGGTGGGGTGGAGAGGAGGTGGGCGGGGAGTGGTGGCTGAGAGGACCTGGCAGGACCGGCAGGTGGAAGCGGGCACCAGACCCTGCTGCTGGTGCTGTTCAGACACCGACCCCCAGGCAGCGGTAGTGACCAGTCTGAGGCCGGCAGGGCCAGGCAGAGGGTCAGAGTGGCCTACCCCTCCCCCAGGCCTCTGGAGGTGAAAAGGCGGGTGGGAGGGGTCCTGAGGGCCCTCAGGCAAGTCCCTGCCCACAGCAGACCTGGCTTCCCTGTGGCAGGAGCCAGGGCCTCCCACTGCGGAGGGTGCAGCCCGAGCTGGGGCCCAGTGGGGTCAGCTCCTGGAGGCTTCTCACCCCTCCTGGCTGGGCAGCCCTGGAAGGAGGCCCCACCATGAGGAGGTGGCTCCAGGTAGCCCCGACTTGCAACACTTCATTTCTGGTTCCTTGGCCAGTGCTGACCTTGGGGGTGCCCCCGTCCTTACCCCCTCCCCAGGACAGGTGCAGCACAGAATCTCTGGGAGACAGAAAGATTATGGAGCCTGGGGAGGCGCGCTGCCTCTCCTTGTGTCTGCGAGGAGAGACCAAGGCACCCACAGTGCCTGCAGGAGCCCAACCCGCTCTGCCTCCTGCCCCTCCTGGACGGGTCTCCTGCGCCCACTGTGGTAGCACCACTCCCAGGCCGTGCGCCCTGGGCAGACATGTGCAAGGTGTGCACGCCGGGCTGCCCTGCTGAGGGCGATGCCTGCGCTCAGAGCCCACGTGAGGCCAGGCCAGCGGCAGGGGCCACTCCAGGCAGACAATCGGCAAAGGTGACAACATCAGCCCTCGGTGGAGTCCTGGCCACTGTTGTGAGGACACCGGCCCTGGGGGCACCCCCGCTAACACTCTGCAGCAACTCACGTGTAGGTCGACGGTTGCAAAGGAGCACGGAGCAGAACCAGAAGGAAAACCACGAGCCGAGCCTCCCCACAGCACACCCACCGCGGGGCTT